CCTGAGCAGCTCTGAAAAAAAAAAAAAAAAATCATAGCACGGATAGAAGAGGTCCCACCCAACGCACTCCCAACCTTTACAGGACAACAGCACTGGGACAGAGGCAGTATCGTATCCCCGAACCCCTTGGAACCCCTGAAGCAGCTCTGGATGTGGGGATCGCAGCCAGCAAACCCCCTGAGGTCATGGCACCCGCAGCAGTGGGATCCAGGGCTCACCTGTGGGCAGGGGGTTTTGCTGGATGAGGTCCAGGCAGCCCCGGACGAGGCCGTAGAGGGGATCAAGCGAGCTGGGCACGCGGTGCAGCGCTGGCACTCGGATCTCGGCRTGCCTGTCGGTGAAGCGAAGGACGCCGCCGGGGCTGGTGGGGTGGCACTGCTGTGTGGCAGCAGGATGGAGCAGTGCCCAGGCCAGCAGCAGCCCGGCCACCCGCATGGCTCTGGCGGTGGCGAGGAGAGAGCCRGGGGCTCAGTCAGCCTGCGATCGAGCACAAGGGCATTCTTGGCCCTGGACGGCTCGCTACAGCTGGGCTCCTGCTCCGGGAAACCTGCCTGACGGGTCGGCTGCCGCGCAAAGCCCAGACACTGCCGTGGCTTGTTCCCCCCACGGGCTGCCCGGGGCGGCTGGGCTTGGCGGGGCTGCGTGGAGGCGTCTCCCAAACCATCCCAGGCCTGTTTTGCAACACCCAGCATCCCTGAGTCACTGCTGCCGGGTCCCCGCTGTCAAGACCTTTCCCAAAACTGATGGCAAAACCTCCCTGGGGTTTTGGGGAGAGGGACAGAGGGTGGTGAACCCCTGTGCTTGGGCTGGAGGGTGCTCATCCCCACCACTTTGGAAGGAGGGATCTGGGATTTTGGGCATCACTTGGAGAGTGGGAAAGTGTTTGTGGGGGGATTCTCATGTATGGATGGGGTACTTAATGGGACACAGAATCACCCTTTGGAAAAGCATCCTGAGATCTGGGGTAGCAACAAGAAGGGCAAATGAAGAGCACACGGAGAGGGACACTGAGCCCCAACAGACGATACCCACTYGCCAGTCAGGTGTGAGATGAGTTTTCCAGGCTCAGCCAGTCCTTGTCTGACACCCCGAGGCTCCTTCCCAGGGCCGGATCCCGCCTCCCGGCATGGACCGAGCGCTAATTACAGGCTTGTCTGGAAGCRCAGGAGGTTCAACCTGATCTCTTGGTGCAGGAGGACCAGCCCTGCTATGCCCAGATGGCCGCGGGGCACCCCGAGAGCTGGGACCTTGCTCAGCTGGGCGGGTCCGACCGGCCCTTCCCCACCGCTGGCTGCCCACGCCCCCATCTCCCTGGCGTTGATGCAAATCCGTGTGGTTCTCCTCCCTCTGGAAAAGGGCCTTTCCGCCCAGCTGGAGATGCCAGCAGCCTTTTTCCAAGCTGGGCACAGAGTGCTGATCCTTACCAGCTGCTTGGGAATGGGATGTTGTGGACAGAAAAATCTTCCCTGGCTTGGCTTGTCCCATCCTGGGATAAAATTGGCAGGGCCAGGAAAGCCTGGGATCTTAGCATGGCACATTTATAGTGAATGTGTCTGTGCACAGCAAAGGAGCCCAGCTGCCTGTTCTGGTACTGGGCAGTGATGGGGATGCCGCTGATTTCCCATTATGATTTCCCATTCTTGTGATGATTTCCCAACCCCAGCCTCAATTTCCCATTCCCATGAGGATTTCTCAATCCCAGACTTGATGCCCCATTCCCATGGTGATTTCCCACACCCACTATGTTTTCCAGTGCCAACAATCTTCCCTCCCAACAATGATATTTTTGGGGGTGGAGGTGATTTTCATGTCCAAGGGTAAGTGATGTAGTGGTACCAGTGACTCTGCCATATGTATGTACTGCCCCAGTGGTAGGAGGGGATGATTYTGGGATACTTTTGGGTTGGTTTCATCCTCCCTCTTCCTGTCCCCAGGGGACAACTACTGCTCCCAGCTGTGTTTGAACCATATTTGGTTGGGATTTTGGACAGCTTGGACTGTGTGGCCATGATGGGGAGCCCATGGGGTAGCCCTTCAGGGAGCTGCCAAGTGGTACTTGTGGGCTGCAGGATGCCAATGGTGATGATATTGGGAATGGGGTGGAGATGCTGGTTCCACRGATGTTGATGCCAGGATGGGGTAAGGGATGTTGATACTGGGAGTGCCAGTACTGTCATGGGTTAGGGATGCCCGTACTGAGGATACTGGGACCAAGTCAGGGATGCTGGTACCAGTACTGGCACAGGGTGGGGGTGCCAGACCAGGAGCTGTGAGGTGCTGTGGTGAACTGGGGCAGTGATATTGGTACCAGCACAAAGACACTCATATGGCAATAATGATGGCTCTGCACTGGGAAGATGACGCTGACACTGGGACAGTGATGCTTGTGTTTTGGTACTGGGGCAGTGATGCTGGTACTGGAACGGTGATGCTGTTTTGGTACTGATGCAGTGACGCTGGTTCGGTACCGGAG